TCCTGGAGAGTTCCATGTACAAGACTTACGAGACCACAGGAGAACTGATGCAGGAGAAGTTACAGGAACTTTTCGCCGTGCTGGATCGTGTGGCCAGACTGGAGGCACAATAAAATTGATTTGATACCTCCAGGTTGCCAACTTCTGCATTCTTCTAGAGACCTCCATGTACAAGGCGCACGCTCACACATGCTTGCTAACATACAATTACACATTGCTCACACTTACTGACGGACAGTTGTGTTTCCTGCAGTTTGCTGGAGAGTTCCATGTACAAGACGTACACTCATACATTTACATCTTGCTAACAGACAGTTGTGTGTACAGTCATACATTTCTTGCTACATGTACATGTAACAGACTGTTCTGATTCCAGGTAGCCAACTCCTGCAGTGTCCTGGAGAGTTCCATGTACAAGACTTACGAGACCACAGGAGAACTGATGCAGGAGAAAGTTACAGGAACTTTTCGCCGTGCTGGATCGCGTGGCCAGACTCGAGGCAGAGCTGAAACAGTTCCACCAGGCACTGGGCATGCTGTACACCGACGTACAGGTCCCTCACAAACAGTGAACACTCAGGGGAGTTTGTACTTATCTAGGTTTGTTCGTTTTGTTTCTTTGAGGCTTTGTTTTTCATGAAATACCAGACTCAAATTAGCCTGCTGAGTCTATATACATTCTTATGGCCTTACACATCTGTAGGTTCTACATGAAACGTGACACTATGATCCACTTGTGTCTGACATGCATTGGCATACATCTATTCATCCTTAAGCCTTGTGGACTTGTTTTTGTTTGCTTTTGAAATCATTCATTCATTCACTAATTCACCGTATTGTACTGGTAGCTCTTAAACGCATTTCTAGGTAGGATCTTCATCTAGAGAATGACTCAAGTCATTATGCCAGGGGGTTGAGCATGTGAGGTGTGCTTTGTGTTGCTTCAACCATTTTGGTTTTTCAGGATTTCCAGTAAGTTATATTGATTGTAGTGTGAATACTTGAAATGAAGAGTATTGTATGTTTGTTGATGGTGCCTCTCACCCTTGTGTTAAAATGATAGAAAATGTGCATGTTCTAAATTGCTTGTAAATAACTTGATTAAATCATCAAAGCTACAAGGTGTCTGGATGTTCAGGACCCCTAGCTTCAATATCTTTCTCTCAAACTTCCCTTGCCATGTAAGAAAAGAGACAGATAACACCATCACACCAGCATTTTTCAGTGCATGAGCTTTGCAGTTTAATCAGGAATTTTTCATGGCGCTCAGCCAATATACTGCATGCTTTCAAACAAGCACTTTAAGAAAACAAAACGACATTGAATATGTTCAATCCACTCCAGTTAAACAAGAAAGAAACAGTTAAGAAACGTTAGAAAAAAACAGTAATTTTCTTATTGCTGCAGCATATTTCAAAATATACACATCAAATCTTAGAGTTAGACACTAATAGGTGAAGACTGATTTTGGCAAGCCGGATGACTGTTGCCACAGTGACCTATCGCCACGGTTACCGGTTGCCATGGTTACTAGTCCTCGCGGCACTCCAGCTCGGCCTCGACGTCCTGCACCAGATCAGTGCTCTTCCCCTGCAGCTTGTCTCCCAGAGGCTTCGTCTCGTACAGCTGAAAAAATACAGAACAGAACCGTTACTTTCAAGTCTTTAAAGACTTGCTAATCCAATGGCCTCCCACTGGGAGACGTAGAGTGGGACAACCACATACTATACTATTGTCCATGTTAGAGAAAAACGCTGGTCTCGCAGGGACTGCTCTAGTGTCCGCCATGAAGGACCTGCCATGGGGTGGAGTGACTTTATCAAACATACCTCACCAGATTAATCCAGAGGCATGTTGATGATGATGATGAATATTATAATTCAATATGGCAGTTATTATGGTATCCATAATGCTCGGTTGAAAAAATACTGTATTGAGGTTGTTCTGCAACTGAAATACAGTTCATGAGTTGGTGGTTTGAATCCCAGCCTAATCTTTAGGGCTGCTTTACCCTGAGATACATGCAAAATGTAACAGTTTAAGTCTAAGTTGGATATTATCATGTCAAGTTCTGGCAGAATTTGAAACACCAAGTCTTGAAGGAATCTTGAAGTCACCTTGATCATCTTCTGGGTACTCTGCAGCTCCTTGAGGAGGCAGTGGAACTCGGTGGAGCGCACCTCGGACTTTGTCTTCTTGGAGCCCGGGGGGCACTGTGCGACCGGCGTCTTGGAGAAGCAGGCCTCCTCCTCATTACGCTCGTTCAGACGGGTGTGCATGATGTTACGCATCACTGGCTGCTTCTTGCCTATGGGGAAAATCATCACAGCTTTTGCAGGATATATTTCTAAATCCTGAGTGTTACTGTTAGCTTACTGTTAACCACTCCCAAACTGGTTAATAGCAAGGACAAACAGCTACATGTATGTGGTTCAGATGAGTGTGCATGATGTTACGCATCACTGGCTGCTTCTTACCTGTTTGTGTGAGATTATTTTTATAGGTTATCCATAGGGCTGCGTACCTAAACGTAACATCAGGTACAGGTACAGGTACCGGTACAGAGGTTTAGGTACAGGTCCGGACCTGTACCTGTACCTGAACAATTTGACAAATTAACACGTGTTCAATCATGACACAGAAACAATAATAAAGTGTTGACAACTTGTCAGTATCTTTATTTATGACCTGATTTGAGTTTGTTGACCAATCACAACCCTGGATTAGCCACACTCTCGCGATGTCTCGTGAGACTGAGGATCTCAAATCACTGATCGACGGTGTTTACGTCTTTTCCAGTGCTAATTTTTCGTCTTTGTGGTAGGATTTACCTATCTTTAGTCATATACATGGTGTAAACTAGCTATTTCGGTATATACTCGTTACGTCATGATCCGGTATTTTGGACCTGTACCGAAACGATTTTTACGGTATTGGACTGGTACAGTGTACCGGTCCGCAGCCCTAGTTATCCAAGACGTGATTATCTTAAGGTTATACATTGTCAAGAAGTAGTATGCAGCTTCCAGAAAGTACACACGTATGTACATGTAGCTTCCATGAAGTATGCAGCTTCCTGAATTTACAGATCACTTGCTATTTCTTTCCTGTGTGGGGGGTTATACAAGAAATCAGGGATTCATGCGTCCAGGAAGTATGCAGCTTTGAGAAATGCAGCTTCGAGAAAGTTTGCAGCTTAATTCATGGTACTATGCAATACATTGGTCCAGCTGACTGGAAAAAGTCTCTGGTCTTTTAGAGGTGCCAGGACTTACTTTTCTTAAATTCTTAAGAAAGATGTTGACTTACCTTCCTCCTCACACTGCCTGCTTGGGACCTGGTAAGACAAGGCAAACTCCTTGGGAGACCTGTAGTTTCTTAAGTAGCAGGACTAACACAGGTGTAACTTACCCTCCTCCTCACACTGCCTGCTGGGGACCTGGTAAGACAGGGCAAACTCCTTGGGTGACCTGTAGACCTCTTCGCGAGGGCCCTCATATTCGTTGGACTGCTCGCCGTCGAAGTTGCCGCACAGACCAACCAGCTTCTTACGGTAGTCGTGAGACACCTGGGTGGGACGTCATAATAGTATGATAAGTTTATTGCAAATCTTTGTCACCAGAAAGGCAAAAAATGGCATCAAAGGAAGATGATGAAAAGTTACTTATTGAGGGAGAGGACCATTGCTTGTTTGCCCTTGTAGCACCTTAATTTTACCTCCCGCTGTTTAGGCAACGCAGCTGCTTTTTGCCTAGTGATCAAGCTTTATCCTTCAGCACACTGAAGTAGCTGTTTGATTACCAGTTCCCTAGCTATTTGGTTACAGGGTTAGGCAGCAGGGAGAAGGTTAACATTTAGCACACTGAAGTAGCCGTTTGGCTACCAGTTCCCTAGCTATTAGTTACAGGGTTAGGCAGCAGAGAGAGTCTTTAACCTTTAGAATACTGAAGTAGCTGTCTGGATATTTAACAATTATCATTCTATTGATAACAAAGTAGGTAAGGGGTAAGGAATTTTCCCGACCAGCCTCGTAACCCCTGCTTCTCCTATTGGGTCAGGATGTTTCTGACTCAGGGAGAAGAGTTGCTGTTACAGTTCTATACCAGTCCTGTAGCTCTATGCCTAGAAGTGGCCAATGGCCTTGCATTGAGCGACACCGTTAAAAAAAAAAAGTGAGACAGCAGGGAGAAGGTGGTACAGATGTAAGCAAAACCAGAAAAAAAGTAATTCAGCATCATTGACAAGATACATGTATGGCTGTGCAAAACTGTGTTTCAACAATTGGGGGGGGGGTGACAGCAACCTAAAATTCTGATGCCCTCTAAGGTAGCACACTGTAAGCACCTGGCTCAAAAAAGTATTTCGACCTAGTACTAGCCTCAGTAACGTGTTTTAGATCTTAGACTTAAAGTTTTGTGCCATAGATTCTGAGTTCTGTAGTTTCAACGCACCTTGACCTGGACATAGTGGCCGTCCATCTTGACCTTGAGGCCGTGCTTGGGGGAGCTCAGCTCCACGGTGTTGCCATGGCGACGGATGGTGCAAATGACCTTACCAGAGGTCGCGTGGCGGATCTGTTTGGTCTGGCCGGGCTGGATCTGGGCCTCACGTCCGTCGATCGTCACCTCAATCTGGGGGTTAAAACAACAAGAAATTAACCTTCCACTGCCATGGGGTTATCAATGCATGACAACATGATATAGTCACAGCTTAGTCAGGAGGGAGCTCCAGCCTGCAGCTGTTTAATGGAAATAAATTTGTATAATTGTTCATGCAGGCAAAGGATTTTCAGTCCATACAACAAAGAAAGATGAACTATATATATATATATATTAAGCTTTTTGGATTTGACATCTTTTTTGGAAGCAGTGGGAAACAAAATCCCACTTTATCTGCAATGAGTCAGGGTTTTGGGAGGTTAACAGGGTTGTAGTTTTCTTTTGTCAGTAAACGTTTGGAAGTTTAAAATGTAGAATCTGATGTAAAACCTATTAGTAAGAACTGTATGCAGACAGGCTGAACTGTGGTACAGTGTGGTATAATGGTATACTGGTAGAGCATTCGGCCTGGAACCCATGGGTCCTGGGTTCAATTCCACCTACATACCCCGATGTTGTGCCCTAGGGAAAGGCACTTTACACAGCTTTCCCCCAACATGCCAGTTATTGCCGACTTCTCGGCAGATGGGCATTATCCGAAGACAAAGAAAACTCACAGGAACATGCTGGTGCAGCTTCTCCTCGCTGCTGGTCCACTCCACAGACTTGGAGGTCCTGCTCTGGGACTGGGACTGGGTCTCAGCAGAGGTCTGCTGGCTGGTACGCTGCTCCTGGGACTCACGCTTGCTGCCTGGCTGCTGCTTGCTTGTCTCCCTGGAATAATATAAGCTTTATTGCAAATTCATGCCCGAGGACTAATTGCATGAACAGAAGAAACATTTGGTATAAAAACAGATAATTAGTACACATGGAACTACTAACTACTAAGAAACTACTAGTAAAAACTACTGGGTTTGACTTCTTTTTTGAAGACAGAGGAAGACATAGGATCCCACTTTTTCTGTAATTTGTGGGTAGCGTGGAAAGTACTAAGTTACTGTAAAAGAGGCACTAGGTGGTGTTATTTAGTAAATTTTGTTTTAAACATGCTCCTGAGTGTCAAGCCAACTGGCAGGTTGCTGCTGGCTTGTCTCCCTGCAGTGATCGGAAGGTGGAACTATCATACTGTCTTATAAGGACCATCTTGCCATTAGGACCATAAGGACCATCTTGCCATTAGGACCATAAGGACCATCTTGCCATTGATTATCATAATACTACAGTTACTAGGCCCAGGAAAAAATGTGAAACAGGAACACTTTTTCTAGTTCACACAGTTTTCTGTGTACGCATGTATACTGTGAAACATTTTACATAGAAGTAACAACCTCTTAGACTATTTACCCAATGACCAAAGCATATCAATTAGTGTCCTGTCTGTATCGACAACAACAAGTAATCTAATTTTGCTAACACAGCACACTGTCCAGGCAGACATACCTGCTCAGCTGGCGCTCCCGGCTCTGCCTCTTCTCTTGGCTCTGCCTCCACTCCTGATCCTGCCATTCCTGGTTTTCCTCCTGGTTCTCCTGACGTTCCTGGCTCCACTGGCGTTCCTGGCTCCTCTGGCGTTCCTGGCTGGTCTCCCTGCTGTGCTGACTCTCCTGACTGGTGGTGATGTGTGGAACCCTGAACTCAACCTTTACAGTCTCCAGGAAGACCTGAGCAGAGAAACAGTTTCTTTTAAACTTTTAAACATTGATCATTCTGAAATTGAAAATCATTCTAACTGTCTGCTGGGTTGAACCCTGAACTCAACCTTTACAGTCTCCAGGAAGACCTGGGTAGAGAAACATTGATCATTTGTTTATTTATTTGTTTATTTGAAGGATCTCCATTAGTGAGTATAAGCATACGCTTATACTCACTATTCTTCCTGGAGTCTTAAAAACAACATTACAAACTTTAACACTTTTATCATTCTGAAATTGAAAATCAATCTGTCTTTCAGTCATGATGATGAGGAAGTGTTACATTATTAGTGAGGAAATATTAATCAACAGATGTACATAAAACAGTTTTAGCACTAATTTATAACCTTTGGTCTGCTATGGTTGTCATTTGGCACCAAATTTGTATTCTTTATGGGGTTAGGTTTTAAATATTCTTTTTGGCTCTATCACCAGAGCTCATCCCTTTTTGATTATGAGTGAGGTGAGAGACAATATTAGAATGTGCAAAAGAACATCCCTATATGAGTATGTTCCACTAACATTGTGGCTTCTTTGAAGTGTGACATCAACCCTGGGTCAAAGGTATCTGGTAGATGATGTGGAATTTTGCTCTAGATGAGAGAACTTCTTTGTGTTGGATCTAAAGTTTCAAATTTTAACACCAACCTTGACAGTCTTCTCCGGCCTGTGCTGGTTGGGTTTGTTGGTGAGGACCATGAACCTCTCCTCAGGAGAGGCGTCCTTGGCCAGGATGTGGTCACACTTCCCGATCCGGTACTTGTACTCAACATCATCAAATGTGCGGATCTTGTCGTTGGCCTGGACCTTGCAGTAAGCTGGTGGGAAAGGAATTAGTGTTTTAGCAATGTCTAGGGATTAGCAATCTACATGTGAGTCACAAGATCTTGATGTTGTAAATTATGCACCTTTCTACAATGTCTGCTGCCATAATACTGATCAGAAGCAACTTTGTGCGATTGTACAGTGACAAGTGTATTTGGTGGCCGCAGCAGACTGATGAAGTCTATAGTAAATGTTTCCGGGCTTCCATGCATTTGACTATCCAAAATGTAAAGCAAGCAATGTTATCTATGTTTAAGTTGATATGATCTTGGATCAGCAAAGTTTGAGCCTCAACACTTGGACAGTATAATAAGGACTATACGAGAAATGCACTTCTAATGAGTTATCTGTGTACCAACTAATTAGACCCATCTCTTAATCTCTTACTCACAAGTTTTCTTGGTGAATTTCTGTGTCTAGCCTAAAACATGGACATGAGTATAATGTACGTAAATGTGGCACAGTTATATTATTAATTGTACCAACAGAGCGGCATCTGTACTCACGAGTGTACTTGTTCTTGGTGACTTTGTCCATGGCCTGCTCAGTGAGGGTTCGCCTTGTGGAAGGGAAGAACAGAGGAACCCAGTCCAGAGGCACCCGGCTGATGTTGTGCTCCTGCGTGGGAAGGAATGGTTTATTATACGTTGGTGAAGGTTAGAGATGTCTTGAACATCTCATGGACACAAAGAATTTCAAACTGTGAGCTGTACAAAAACATACTGCCAGTTGCTGAAACAAGACGGCAAAGGAGACTATGTTCTGTAGGCCACTGTTGGAGGAAAAAGGATGAGGTAGTACACAAACTCTTACTGTGGAACCTGAGTCATGGAAAGAGAAGTCACGGAAGACCACACTTGACTTACATAAAACTAGAAGCTGACAGTGGAATGATTCTAAGTCAACTGCCTGCTGCGATGGAGGACAGAGAGAAATGGACACAGATCTGACCAGCAGGGTTGTTAATCTACTGTCCTAAAACCACACCTGTTAAATTAGTTTGGCCTAATGTTACATTTAAGCAATCCTGAGTTCGTACCTGGCGTGGAGTGCGGATGGTGATGTTCATCTCCCTCTGTGGCTGGTCCAGGCTGGCACGCACACAGATCTGACCAGCGGGGTTGTTAATCCCCACCTGCCTGAATGATCTTGTCTGCATTTTACTACTATATCGTAACATTTGAAACGTTTTAACGACAAATGTACCTGGCGAGGGGTGCGGATTGTGACATTCATCTCTCTCTGAGGCTGGTCCAGGCTGGCACGGACGCGAATCTGACCAGCAGGGTTGTTTATTCCGACCTGCCTGATGCTGCTGCGCCCGTAGAACGTGTTCTGGATGTAGCGATGGGCGGCAAGGCTGGCCTGCTGAAGCCACACGGGAATCTATGGGATATAAAGTTTTTATTTATTTTTTTATATTTTCACATAAAAAGATACAGAGATTGATCCATCCAGGTAATAATAAAATAATAACGGAAAATGATAGAGAAACAGAGAAATAATAATAATCAATTATTTCTGTCTGTAGAGACATTTGATTATGATAATGTGGGATATAAAGTTTGACGTAAATAACTATTAAGTTTTCAGACTTCCAACAACACGGGATGGAAAATAAAAAAGCACACATTAACACACAAGAAAAAAGTTACTCAAACAACTGTTCCTTTAAATGGGAACTATGTGACTCAGGGTGTCTTACGACTGTATGTGCGAGATGTCCGTTAGCTAGCTTGGGGAATGAATCCACTCTTCTATTTACTTCTTTGCTGAATCTGTATATAGTAGAGGGGATTCATTCCTCAAGCTAACCGACATCTCACACACGCAGTCGTCCCTCAGTAAGACATCTGGAGCTGCATAGTTCCCGTTTAGAACTTTTATTCAGCCTGTCACACGACCGGTTGTGCCTGTGTTGCTTCTTCAAGTGTGCAAAGGCTGAAGACCTTAATTCTCCAGTCAATATGCTATTCTTGTGACAGTACATTACTCAAAGACATTACTATTATAAGGCCACACCAATTTAATTTCTTGGTTAACGGATTTTTCTAGAAAAATAATGGAGCGGGCGGGCGAAAAAAAATAAAATAAAAACAGGCCTAGGCATCCTATTATGGCCCAAAATGGTACGATAGGAGCCATGAAGTCAACACACTAGGCTGGTTCAAAATTTAAACAATGAATTTTGAACTTTTAATGATACCACTGCATTGAAAGATGGAATAACTGTAACAAATAGGATGAAAAGGGCTGTTTTCAACTGTTCAGGGTAAAATATGAGCATTTTGCAGTTGATTCTGGATTTTTATTTTTATTTGCAAATCAGAAAAAAATTAAGTGTGGCCCAATAATACTATAATAATTGAAAATCTACTGCTTACGTTCTGGAAGATAATCTCGGCATTAAGCTCCCTGAGCAGACTACGCTGGTCCAGGGCCTCACTACAGACAGGGGAGTACTGCTGGCCATCACGGCGGTCCTTCAGACACTGCCTGTGGGGTAAGGGTTAATAACAGGTTAAACATACTATATATTAGGCACTCCGTGTCTGCAGTGTAGGGGTTAAAAAGCACAGGCTCGGGAGTACTACTGGCATGCTGTAACCAGAACCGTGCTTTATCCAGAACCTTGCTTTAATAATGCACTGTACTGAATAGTCCATGCCTATCCAGAACCGTGCCTGGGGCAAATCCACGTTCTTGGATGCACAGAGACCATCCAGAACCGTGCCTGGGACTAATCTACGTTCTTGGAGATGCGGAAACTATCCAGAACCGTGCCTGATCCTTAGAACCCTAACCTATTCAGGCATAGATCTAGATGGACACGGTTCTGGATACAATAGAGACTATCCAGAACCATGCCTGATCCTAACCCTAACCCATTCAGGCATAGAACTAGATAGGCACAGTTCTGGATACAATAGAGACTATCCAGAACCATGTCTGATCCTAACTCTAACCCATTCATGCATAGAACTAGGCACACTTCTCTTCTAGTTTAATATCTAAAAGATAATCTCTTGTAGTATCCTGAAAAATAAAATATATAATGGTGTGGTACTATTGTCTCTGGCAATAGATGGGTGCAAAGAACTATGTGTCACAGGTATAAACTTAAGGCAACATGAAATCATGTGTGCAGGTGTATATGCTTACTTGTACAGGTTGCGCCTCAGCTTTATCTGCTGGAACTTGTCGGAGGATTGCCAAGACGTCTCCCAAGACCTGGAGGCCTCTCCGGTCTCCTTAGAGGCTCTCTCCTGAGACTTCTCCTGGCTGGAGCGCTCCTGTTCCCTGGACTCTTCCCACTCGGTCGAACGTGGGCTTCTCTCCTCACTCTTGCTCTTGGACCATGACCACAGCGACCTGAACATAAGGAGGATAGATGATAAACTTAACTGCAATTGTACAAGATATACATGTAAAGTATGGAATTTATTGCTATATAACAAACATGCTATGAGATGAATCTGCTATGACACAGTATTGAGTACTTGCTAAACAGCCCGTCCTGCCACTTGCTTCATAATGTAATCCTACTCCACATGATGTCTGCTACAGCACCAGTAGTAATACCATGGTGACAGCCATCTGGTCCATATCATTGCCTTTATTTCAGAACATTGACACAGTTTTTTTGTACCGGAAATCAAGATATTTTTAACTCAGTACTTTTATGTTGAACTTCGCAGTTTCTATGTGACTTCTGTGTGGCTAACTTTCTTTATTCTGTACCTGCCACACTGAGAACATATGGTTCTGTGAGCTCATTTTTAAAGTGATTTACAGTACAAAAGCGTCTAAGGAGTGAGGCTTACTGTAATTGACAGAGTTGAGGATGGAGTCCAGTTTCTGCTCCTAAGACTGAGTTAGGTTTGGAGGAGTAAAGTTTTAAGAAGTACTCGAGTTTGGAGGAGTGAGCCTTACTTGACAGAGTCTAGGATGGAGTCCAGTTTCTGCTCCTGAGACTGGGTGAGCACCTCCCCGCTGCGGCTCTCCCACTCCGCTGCCTCCTCACGGCGCTCCTGGCGGCGCTGCTCTACAGACTTCTGGAACTTGGCCTGGAGGGAGATTTTATGTACAGCAGTCATGATCAGAAATCTGTTTACACTAATCTAGCTAGATTCTTGTTGTTTTTTTTGTTTGTTTTTTTCGTAGAGTGGAACTTGCTGCCACCAACTACACTAGAAGCATTACCCCATTACATAGCCTCAAACAATGCTCAATGAATGCAGTTACATCAATGAGGGTTAGACTTTCAGGTAATTTAAAATGATGAAAATCTATCCAGTTGCTTAAGAAGTTAAGTTACTGTTTTGTTGTGTAACACAGTCAGATGTGCAAAGGTTTACATTCGGTGGAGCTGGTTGTTCAGTGATATAAGCAGCTGCTGCCTGGACGTTCATTATGGCCCAAAGGGCGGTTATACCAGCTATATGAATATAGGTACAGAATCTGGTGTGTAACACCTGAAGGATGGTTATACTGTCTAGCAATACCGATACAGATACATAACCTATCACGAAGACCTGATAGAGGATAGAAAACATACTGCACTACATACATTAAGCTGGACCCTGGGTCCCCTTCCTGAGCAGTCGGCGCCCCACTTGGCGTCCACCAGAGCCTGGGTGACTCCGTCCTGGATCAGTCTCACGTCACGGTTGGTCGGGTACTCCAGCTGCATGTCCACGCACATCTTAGTCTGGGGAAACGGAAATAAAAAAGTTTAGATTATCATGAAAGTTCATCTGTGTTCAACTTGGTAGTAATCTTAGTAAAACGTTAAACTTTATTCCAACACACAATTTGCAGGGATCAAATTTTCAGCGACCACTGGAATAAAGTTTTACTAAAAAAAGTTTAGCTTGAAAGTTCATCAGATTCTGTGCCGCTAGAAGTGACATTCTGCAACAGAATTGAGCTGTACTTGTCGAGCTCCGAAATATGAGATGTGTCACAGGACTGTCTTCTCGCATGTGAGGCAAGTTCGCGGAACTTCTTGAGCAAAATTGTGATCAAGACTGCTACAGTCTCGTGAGTTCTCATGTGTAGAGTTGGCAGTATCTCAAAACTATGGACACAAAAGCAACACACAATCAAGCACAAACCCCCATGGAGGTAAAATGAAAACCCAAACTTACGTCCCGGGACTCGATCTCTGGAATGCAAGAACGCTCGATCTGGATTGCAATTTTGGTCTTGCACGTCTGTTTTTTGCCATCCTGGCGGACTTTAGTACTGCGTCTACCTATATAAACACCTCTGTACACACACATAATTATACTCACTAACTATGGGCACAAAAAGCTTAACTTACGTCCCAGGACTCGATCTCCGGAATGCGAGAGCGTTCGATCTGGATGGCGATGGTCTTGCGTGTCTGCTGCTTGCCGTCCTGACGGACCTGGTACTGGGTCTCAGAGGACATCTCCGGCTCCTTTTCCCTCAGGGAGCGCACCAGGAACTTCCTCGGGACCTTCCGCTCACGGGAGTCCAGCTCGCGACGGCGCGGGTCCACCTCAACCTGGGAAACAAACAAACAAAAATAAACAAAACAATCCTACTTCCTCTCCCGGAAGTCCAGCTCAATGTGCCGGGGTCCACCTCAACCTGGGAAACAAACAAACAAACAAATAAATCAACAAAACAAGCATCTTAACCCAAAGGTTTGAGACCTGCGCAAAGTATTTTTGGATTATATGAATTTGGTATTTTGGAAGGGTTTTATGGCGTGATCAGGTATCACACCACTTCCTGAATTCCTCCAAGTACTGCCCACTTACTACCACGGACCTGGTGCCTTCTTGGTCACCTTCAGGCTTAACCTCTCTGTAAATTAAACGTCAAAGTCACCTCCTAGCCTTGACACCATCCAGAAAGAGTAGGGGTCCTTCCTGGTGAATGAATCAAAATTTACATGCAACTGTTCGTATTATGCAGCTTGTACTTAGTGTACAGAACTGGCGGGTTATACCTAGAGGTTTAATGGTAAACAAACAAACAAAGAAATAAACAAACCTGCTCGTCCCTGTAGTTCAGCTTGATCTTCATGAACCGTTCCTGGCGAGGGTGGTTTGCCCGGATGTCGAGCTCAACGCGCTGGGAAGTTGTCTGCTCCTTGGAAGTCATCTGGGAAGACGTTTCCTCGGAAGAGGTGTAGCGGGTCTCCTTCGGCCTGCACTCTATCTCAATCTATGGACAAGAATTCAACATGTTAGCTGTTGTATAAAGTCTTGTAGTGTGTTTGTACATGTTTTCTATAGGCTTGAAATCTCTGTAGGTAACTCGTAATGTCATATTAGCTTCTTCTCATTATGGTAAAGCTATTATTAATGCAGAAATGCATCTTCGAGGTAGCTGGTTTGGTGCCATGGTCGTATATTATTGCCCTCTCTTTTGCCGAATGTCTTTTAAAGTTCCTTTTGATATGTACCAGAGAATGTAGGTCTTACAGTGTCTGTAATTTCTATATTGTATGTTGGGTGCAATTTGGGCTAACCAGGCCCGGGAGCCCCTTTTCCAATAAAACAATGGACTGATACAATTTGTAGGTCCATTGTCCAGAGACGGTTGGAAACTGCCCCGATGAGGATATTTGGTTTTGCAGTATAAAAAATGTAGCAAACAAATAAGCAAACAAACAAACTTACCTTCTCGGGCTTGTTCTGGCCGGGCTTGACAGCCAGACGAAGCTCGACGGGGCCGCACAGGGGCTGGAAGGGGGCGCGCTTCTCCCTGTTCAGGCGGGAGACCATGCTGGACTTCAGGGAGAACTCCAGCCCCAGGGCCTGCTGGCCATACGCAGCCTTCATCTGGGGGTGTAGGATGAATAAAAGAGTAAGACGAGTTGAGACCTTTATTTTGTAATGCAAAGTTCACAACAGGATACTAGAAATAAATTCTTGATGCAGGAGAAAGTCCTTTTACTCATCTAGCGACATTCAAAAGAGAACATTTAATTCTTTTCTTTGCAAAAGGAACTGATGAGTCTTCAGTTTAACGTTTTTGATGACATCCACAATCTGTCACTGTTGGCTAAGAACATCATTGGATGCAGATGTACATGTCATGTACTTCTCAGTGGTCTTGTGATCAGGTCTGTAGACTTGCAAAGTCTAAATGTTTGAATCCTTAGCAGCGTCCAATGACTACAAAAAGCAATGTTGTGTCCTTCGAAAATGCACTTAACACTAATTTTGTCTGGCTTTGGTTAGGGACGTAAAGCTTGTATTTACTGTACAAAACTGGTGTGTTACATCTGAAGGCAGGTTTAGCATTTATACAAAACAAACAAACAAACAAACTGACCGTGCTGGGGAACCTCTGGATCTTCTTGCCCTGAAGCGTGATCTCCTTGATCTGAGGCTCCTTCACCTGCTTGCTGTTGGGCGTCTTGGGCGTCTTGCGGGCGGCCGTCTCCTCGGTAAAGACGATGGGACGAGACTTCAGGACCAGGAGTTCGCGTTCCTTCTCAGGAGTCTCGAAGGTCAGCTTGTGCTGGCGGTTCTTTATGTCAAAGGTTGCCTGTTCATGAAAAAAGACACAAACAGAATATTAAGCTTCAAACACGTGGTACATTCTACAAAACAAAAGAATAGATCGTGGCATCGCAGATAAAGTCAAATCAGAAAAGAGTACGGAATAATTTGCCAGACTCAAATCCAGGACAGTATTACAAACACGCCTGCCCACCTGCCCCTGGGGTACGGTTCTGAATAGTCTCTGCATATCCAAGATCTAAATATATTTTGCTCAGGCACAGTTCTGGATACACGTTGACTATCCCTGAATACAACATTTCCAGAATCTCCTACTATCCACAACCGGGCCTGATCCCAATTCTAATTTATTCAGGCATAGAAATAGATAGGCACGGTTCTGGATACATTTATGGTCTATAGCTACAATTGTTGTACTTGATACTTTATTAGGATATCCATTAGTTTTTTTGCGACTAATCTTCCTGGATTCCAAGAACATAGACAAACAATACAGAGTCACAGACTTCACAATCATATAAAAATGACATTTAGAATCGACGCCACTAGACTTCTACACAATTTTTATCCTACTAGTACTGTCTTGCTAGTACTGTCACAATATCTCCTATTAGACATAAATGAACCAAAAACTCCAGAACAGGGACTCACCTTCCCAGAGATGGGGATGAGGCTGTTCATGGTCACGTCAAGAGCAACTCCAGACTTGATGACGCGGCAGTCAACCGTCATCTTACCAGTGGTCTGCATGGCAACGCTAGGAACAAACAAACAAACAATTGTCATTCAAAACGTGCAAAATTGCAAGGTGACGAGAAGAATTGAGGAATGTTGCTGATTCCACGATCCTGTTGTGAGAACGTTGTGAACAAGAAATGTCATGGAACATTAGACCTATGCACAAAAGGAATCAAATACCATTGAGGCAATCCATTGTTTGAGCATAGAGGCAACACGTGAATCAACATTTACTTTACATTGCTTGCAGACGGCCACCTGTTTTCACTGGTGCCTGTAACTGCAACTGTGTTCTTTAGGAGTTGCATTTCATAACTATATGAATCCCTGATTGCAATTGTGAGCCATTGGTTTCATGACAACACAGGCTAGGTAGTCATCTTTGAGAACGAAAGGCTACCGTCAGATACAGAGATAAAGACTGAGATATTTACGTGTGAGTGCTCTGCAGCCTGGCGTCGATGGCAGTGATCTCCTTCTTGTCGTTATTGCGGTCCTCGCGGAAGAGGCTTGGGGAAACCTCCATCCTGCCTCCAATCTCAGACCTGGCCAGCAGTATGGCCTACAGGTGGCACAAACAATCAATATGACTTTTGTGATACTTTAAACTGTCATTTACACCCCAAGGCTTCTTCAACCATGACGAGGGACGATGTCGACTTACGACCAATGTTGTCCCATTGCCAACATCACAGGTGAGCAAAACCAGGCAATCATTATAATAGCATTTGAGTCAAAGCTAATGATTTGGTCAAAAACTGCACTTATTCAGATTAACCCTACAATACAATCAATCAAATCTATCTTGTCCTCTTGAATTAGGTTTGGAGTCATGCAAACTTTACTTGATGTGGCTGATACTGTTTGCCAGGCCTGCTGCTGATGTCACACGTCCACCTTTCGTAGGCCTCAGGTCATTTCAACTTTAGATTGGTCAACGGTACTCGCCGAATGCTTTTTGGTAAGCTATTTTGCTTTGTGTGTGGTTATAGATATTCATGACACGTTGTACCTATGGCCTTGCAGAGATTTTTTTTTTTCAATTCAGTCTTTATTAAACAACTCGCAGACTTAAGTCTGAATTGTGTTGCTCATTACAATATTCGGGAAACGTTAATAAGATTACAGACAATCATCTTAAGTAAAATGCGCTTTCGTTTACAAATATGATACATTACATAACATTACAAATTAAAATATATCATAAAACACAGAAGAGAAGACGTCTGTGCCGCTGTGTCACTCAGTGTATAAGGTACTGCAGACACGACAGATAAGTGAAGTCTGAGCGCAAGTACTATATTCATTACTTGGCATTTAACAGTTCAACTAAAAAAGGAATTGGTGAGTTCTTGTGACGTGCAGACCGACAGAGTGGAACATCAAATTTATTAGCATTACGTGTACTTCTACCGGAAATGTTCTGTCTCAGCGGGGGCAACCAATCACGGAACTCAGAGTTCAGCAGGGATTCTGCAAATGCCCTACAAAGTTCACGACGTCGGTCAGCAAGGGAGCTGAGGTTCAGGGTTGTCAGTGCCATGTTATAGCTCGAATACTGTGATCCCAAGATGATTTTACAGGCCCTCGTCTGGATCCGTTCTAGAGTCTTAGATTGTTTAGTGGTCAAGGCCGGATGCCACACGGGCACTGCGTATTCCAGTAAAGGGCGCACGTACACGGTGTAGACAGACACCAGGTCAGGAACTGACACACCGAATCTTTTCAGCCTCCGTACCATGTAGAGTCTCCTATTTGAGGATTTCACCATACTGTCCACTTGCTGGTCCCATTTCAGATTGTTTTGAATCGTCAGGCCGAGAACCTTGATGCATGTCACGGTTACCAGGGTCTGTTCACTGATGATCAGAGATACATGTAGACTCTAGTTGTAATGCTGTTACCAAAATGTCCAGCTTTTGGTAAGCTCTTTTCCTTGAACGTTTGTGGAATTTGGAAAAAAAGTTTCATTCATTCACTGTTATATAGTCATTTAGATTGTCACGACATGTACTTGCTGTGGCCTTGCAGAGATAGACTGTAGTTGTAACATTGTTACCTTGATGTCCAGCTCCAGAGGCAGACCCAGAGAAGTGGGGATCCGCTGGGTGGCATCAGCAACCAGATGGGCCTTCGTCATAGTGGTCTGCACACCTGGATGCATTGATGTGAGTACTACTTAGCTAGGCACCTGTACAACAATATATCTGTATAGCTATATTACACTGAACATCAAGCATGTTAACCTTTATCACACTGATGTAGCCACTTGGCTACCAGTTCTCCATGGGGTATAGGGCAGCAGGGAGAAGGCTAAAGAACCCACCATACGTATCGAAAAAAGTAAGGGTGTGAGTGGGTGCAAGCCGACCAGTCTGACCTTACTGTAGGTCTTTTTACAATATAACAGTGCGGTCACACTCGTTGTACATTTTGTAGTTTGGTCATACGATTTTGATTTTGTAGGATTTTTAAGCAGGCTGGGACAGAAACAAAAGAAGCATTTTCGTTAACATGACAGCAGAATTTTGCACAAATATGTCAACAAACATCTGTCCACACTGGCTGTTCTGTAACCCAAAACATTTTAAGTGGCTGCCATGAGCCTTCAAGTTGTTTTGTGGTGACTGATGAAGTAAATAATGTCACAGCAGGACCCTTGCACTTTGAGGCACTTTATATGCTAGTCATAATGCAAAAAATTAGGCTTACCCTCCTTCAGCTGCTGCTCTATGTCTTGGATGGACAGCCTGTCCTCGCGGACAAACTTCTTGAGGAGGTCGCTCCTGAACTGGTGGAAGTAGACCTCGTTGCCGGCAATCTTCAGGTAGATCTGTCCCTTAGGGTCCTCGGGAGTCCTGGTCTTAATGTTCAGCTGAGGTTTAAGGAAGAAAACACGGTCAGAAATGTCCAGAAAGACACTTACAAATTATTCTATCCCATTCAGATGAATCGCGAGTTATTGTTTTGAAATAGTCCATCATCATGTTAGGGAACAGGTTGACAAATACAGATGTTACAGTAAGTTTCATTTTTAGAAGTACCTGACATCAAATTTGCAAAATACATATTCAGGTGTTAGACATATGAATCTTAGCAAGACACTTCAAAGTTACTAAAGGAAAAACACACATCATACACTGTATTCAGAACATATTGTTCGATCCTCAGTGTCAGGTTTAATGACAGACTATCTGCAGACCATTTTGTTAAGAGTTTCATCAGGTTGCCAAATCATTTCAACATCAGTTTTTTCTATGTTTTGATTGTTGCTCTACTGTTATCATCAAGGCTATGTGCATTCTCCTTGTTGTATTGTCAGGGTAGAAATTAGTAATATTAAGGTAAGGTTGTGTAAGATTATGCTCTATCAGAGAATCTTCTGCTTACCTTGCTCTGTATCTTCTCGGCCTCGATGTTCCTGAGTGTGCGCTGCCTCTCTGTGCTCTGTGCGCTGGCGGAGTCGCGGTACTCCCGGCTGGTCTCCTGACTCTTCTTCTTCAGGTAGTGCATCACGCCCTTTCCATCCTCCCACTGCCTGTAGAATTATATATAATACATGGGGGAGGAAAATTAGTAATGTGGTATGTTTTGTCTGAGAGGCCGAGAGAGAGGGAGAGCGAGAGAGATGGAGGGAGGAAGGGCGAGAGAGACTTGAATCTTCAACAATGAAGCCAGGTCGAGAGAGTGAGTGAAAGAGAGGGAGAAAGCAAGTAAGAGAGAGAGAGGGGGAAAGAGGGAGAAAGCAAGCAAGAGAGAGAGAGGGGAAAAGAGGGAGAGAGCAAGTGAGAGAGGGAGGGAGAGAGCAAGCAAGAGACAGAGAGGGAGAAAGAGAGAGAGGGAGCAAGAGAGAGAGAGGGAGAGAGCAAGAGAGAGAGAGAGGGAGAGAGCAAACGAGAGGGAGGGAGAGAGAGAGTGTGCACACGCGCGTGCGAGAGGTAATGATTAGACCTTACCTGTAGAGAGAGTCCACCATGGTCTGCATCCCCGAGGCCCTGACGCCGGTCTCCAGCAGGTTGATGCTGTAGCCCATAGCCTGTACGCTCAGCTTAGCCGTGGCCGCACGGGGAAGGACAGAACGCTTGTCAGCGATGGTCTGCAGCGCAACAGACGCTCCCATCTTCATCTCATCTGGATGGATTGATAGATGGATTGGATGGATGGATGAGTTAATGGATGAATAGTGCTACCATTGCATCTTGACACTATCATGGGAAGTTTCTTCCGTACTTTTAGGCATTGATGTATATCTATTGTAAGACACATCTATACCATTGAGACTGCAGTTCTATATACATCATTGGCAAAAGATATAGATATAACTACTAGATGATACAAGGACTGACTGACTGAATCAATCACTCCTCACGACCCATAGCCTGTCTCTTGCTCTGACAGTACATACTGAAGAATGAGTGAATAAAAGAACGAACAAACAAATGACGATAAAGAAGAAGACTTACCGTCCATAGCCTGGAACTTCTCGCTCTGTGAGTACTGGATGCCGAGGTTGAAGGGCCTGCACAGCCGGAGTGCCCGCTCGCAGCCCAGGCGTGTCTTCTGGTCACGCGGCATGCGGCTGTTTGCACAGCTCCTCAGGTGGGTGTACACAAATCGGCCAACCTGTAGCGGAAGAGGGAATTTTTTTCATTCATGAAGATTTACCACATTTGTGGAAGGACTGCCATAACATCTTCAAAGATGGCAAGCCTGAGACCAGACAGTAAGGTTAAATTCATTTGTCGAGATTCCAATATCTTTTACACCACTGTATATACACTCAGAAATCTTAATCGACACAACAACAGTACAGCGACTTTCGAAAGGTCTCGTGTAAGTAGACGGCACCCTACAGTTTTTGTAAAGTGGCTTCGGGAACAGGCAGTGTGTGAGGCACGGTGGACCAGAAGTTTAGAAAAAATGATGTGGGCACCCACTGATTAGTACCAATAACAGTTTGAATAGACTGGAACTGCATATCTGCCACCAAGAACAGTATGTATCGTTCATCATATATCCAGAAAGGACGCCTAGGGCTCAGATCTGACCAAACCAACAAAGCTGATTGGAGGTTTCCCTCTGTATAGACTATGTGATCAGATTGAAATGAAGCCTGTAGATCATAGTCTGGCCAAATAAACAAACAAACAAACAAACAAATGTACCTGGTTGGATGTCTCCCTCTGTGTAGACTGGGCGACCAGCTCCAGGACTGATGCCTGCGGCTCAGAGTCCATCAGGCCGATGAAGGCAGCAATACGCTCCTCAGCCGGGTTCTCTGGGTTCTTAAACACTGGGAACAGGATGTTACGGGTCTGCAGGAGAAAAAGGTTTATATTGTTTATTAGTGATACTATTCCATATAAAGACTGGAAAATGGGGATAGCAACACTTACAGTAGTCTGGCACTTCTGTCAGCATTTTGGTATTTTTCCAATTCAGATGTTCTATATGGATGTAACAGATAATTGATATTAAACAGAAAATTTGTAGTATCTTGTAAAAAGCTTGCCGCTCACCCACATTTGATGTTAAAGATACTGAGTACCCCAACACCAAACGCAACAGTTACAAGGGTGACAGATATATGGTCTACATGTAGGTCATTGACCTTATATGAGAAGAAACAGAGCAAAAACAAAGGTAGACATAACAATAAAACACTGCCCACCTTGTGAGGCTGTTTCTTGGCGATCCTGCGCAGCGCGTAGATGGCCTGCAGTCTGATCTCGGTTGGGGTCGTCTTGGCGTCCTTTCCGGAGATGATTTCCACGAGACTGTCGACAGAGTCCTCCAGACCGGCGTTCCCGATGGCCTTAAGGCACATCATCTTCTCCTCAGCTGTCTTCTCAGGCTTGATACCGGCAAGGAGTTGCTGAACAGGGAAACAAAGAGGCGATCATTATCTCTTTGATCGGACTTCTTGCAGTTTACCACTAGGTTTACTGTTAGGCAGCTTACCGAAAATGTACAATGTATACTCAACAGAGTCCTGTCAGGCTCAGACTCAAAAACGACTTTGATACATGTTGCTGACTCTATCATTGGGAACATGAAGAATGGTCTTGCTGTATGCTTTTCTTTATCTAAGAAATTGCCTTTGGTACGTAATATGCCATAATTACTAAGGTCCACAATATGACCCTGGGCTCCACTGTAAAGCAGTGGTCACACTATGGGTTGGACTACCCTGGTTAAAAATGATAGGAATATTTGGTTCTAGTCTATGTTATAGTAGAGTGTATCTTTTTCTACAAATTACTATCCAACTGTAAAGAGTCTTGGAAACTTTTGCATGTTTTCCACATACATACATCCGTATATCTTGGTACAATGGCCAGATACATAAAGATTGTGAGATGTCAGCTATAGAATAAATGGCCCCACAAAGGGATTTTATGACAAGTTCCATACCTTAGCGTACTCCCTCTTGATCTGTATGAGCTCGGCGGCCTCCTGCGGCTGTGTCTTGGTGAACTTGTGCACCATGGTGCCGAACGCCAGCCAGCACACCTTACGCAGGTTAGGGTTCTGCTGTGCCTGAGGAGACTTCGCAATTTCCTGGATAACACAAAAAAAAGACAGATCAGATTTTATTTATTTATTTATTCGGCTGTAAAAAAAGACAAATTGTACAGCCAGGACAGCCCAACTAGCCAGGCGGCTATTATTAAGGGCTTGCCCTGCTGACAAGACAAACATTTACACGTACGATACAACAATACAATACATCAACATGGAGAGGTCAGGGTCACACACCTAAGGCTTATAGGGGTCTCCTAACGAGTCCCATAGCTTCCTTTTGAAGGAGGCAATAGTGGTGACAGTGTGAACGTCAGTGGAAAGAGTGTTCCAGAGTGACGTTGCTTGGTGGAAGAAAATCAGATGAAGATGCTTTTTGAGTCAATTTATGACTGAACGCTATACAAAAGCCGTGAACAAACTGTACTTCTTTGGACAAGCTCCCCTGCAAAATGTTATCTGTCTATTGGCCAATTTGTACGTTTCTTTCCAGTCCACCCTGAAGCCTGGTAGAGGCTAATTTTAATCATGATAGCAGCTTTATATTTGCAGGCTTTGTCATTAGGTGATTAGGACAAGAGGATAGCCTCTTTACAGAGTTCATGGTTTGAAATTCTCTTTTGACATTCTGTATTTCTGCAACTGAGAAACAACACGCATGCATGACTATTCACAGTTGGGCTATATCGCCATTCATTTTTATAGCATCATAATTATCTTTGAAGGAGACGTACATGACATAATGGGCATGGTGGCCTTGAAAAGGTGCACTTAGGTGCACCTATTCCACCATGCCCTCCATGTATATTATGTATGTGGTCAATTGTAATAAATAAATAAATAAATGAATGAATAAATACAGAAGAAGAAGAACTTTATTGCACGACAATTGTACAGGGTAGACAGAACGTGTACTTACCAGCATGATGCGGGTGGCAGTGGCTGTGCAGGGGTTTATGGACACAGACAGACCGGCTATCAGGGTCTGTGCATCCTCCTGTGTTATCTTGCTCTCCTCCAGAAGCTCCTTAACCGCCTTGAGAGCCTCCTCGGTGCCGGCCATGGACACGGCGTCGATCATGAGTTTGCGGGTCTCAGACTGTGCCTTCTCCTGACTTGTCTTCGGGTTCTGATAGGGAAAAAACCATCTTTATTGCGTATTCTTGCCTTTGGCAATTGCAGCTTAACACTCGCATCTAATGACAATGACCCTGCTGTACTTCACTCAGCAAGTTCCACTCTACCATAGTTCTAGGAAAGAATAAATTCTCGAACACCTCAATCCTTGGTTGATAAATCTGGTACTTGAAGGCATGGCTATTTCTTGTTCTCTTCTGGGCTGGTATTAGGTACTTAGTAATTGGGACGTCCACCAGTTTATTAGTCATTTTGTACATCATGCATAGTCTGGACATTTTTCTTGACTGTCTTCCAGTGAGACCCACTGTAGGTTACTTTTCATTTCCGTGACACTAGTTTGAGGCAGTTAATACAATATGTATTATATAAACATCTAAGTGCATTATTCCAAATAGCATTGAGAAGGTATATAATATACAAGTTATATTTTTTGTAAATTCCCTCAGTTCATGTCGTATTATTCATTTATTTATGTATAACTTTCAGTTATACTGATTTCATTTACATCTTTTGTTATGTTCTTTGTATAATCTATTTTATAAAATTTACATATTGTATTCCCCCTGGGCCTCCTTGGAAATCAGCTATTGGCTGAAGGAGCTACCCAGGTGTCATTGAAGATTAAATAAAAATAAAAATGAATAAATAATAAATATGCATATGTAATATAAGACGTCTTACCGGTGCGGTCTTGGGGATCTTCTCCAGGCAGAAGGTCTTGAGCTGCTGCTTGTCCATCTTGCGCAGCTCAGTGATAAGCTGGATGATCTGCTTGGGCGTGTCTTCAGTGATGGTCTCCCTCACGCCACGGGCAATGCCCTCACACAGCTGGGTAACCTGCACAGGAACAGGTTGGTAAGATTTAGTTCATATTATTTGAAGAAGACCTTTATTGTACATTTTGCCCCACTGGGCTAAAGACAGGTCACATATTGACAAAGTACATCAATGTTGATAATAAAACGGCTATAGTACACAAGTACTTTCAACTTCCTCTCGCTTTCTGGTAATCTTATAAATGTAGTTGACTGTATGAGTAGCTAGAGCTGGTTTGTTAAAGACTGCAAGGAATATAAATTTCTCTATACTATTCAAATACTTAAATTGGGAGTATTTGCTTGACACAAAATCGAATATATATAAGGCACTGTCTGGCGTACAGAAAAGTATACTTAACAGGCAGCAGATTATTATTGGACTGAGCAGAGCACTTTGGACTAATGCCTCTGGCTGTTTACAGCTTAGAGGTACATATCCAATCTTTTGTCACAAACTCTTCTGTTACATAGCGGATCATAATGACCCCCAGTGGGGGTCTTCACGCTTCGTTAAAATGGAGAAAATCTCAAGATGTATTCCAAAGATCTCAATATTTTAGACGAAATGTTGAGATCTTATGAGACGATCTTGCGATTTTTCAAGACAATCTCAAGATCTTTCAGAAAATCTTACGATGAAAACGAAAGGTCTCAAGATCTTTCCAAGATGTTTTCAAAGCATCTTGAGATTTTTCCATAGTATCTCGAGATGCTTTAAAAGATATCAAGATTGTTTACAAGATCTCAAGATTTATAAAATTTTAACATTTCTTTCAAGATCTTTCAAGACCGGTGCAATAGCTCAATTGGTAGAGTGCTCACTTTGCAACCGGGAGGTCGTGAGTTCAAACCCGGCCGGGTCATACCAAAGACTTTAAAAATGGTACACACTTCTCTCTCTGCTTAGCACTCAGCACATATGAGAAAGAGTGTGGGAAGGTCAAACTCACAGCACTACCAGCGGACTAGCCCCCTGCTGTAGTGCATTGCACAATTGTGTGTCGCCCAAGGGCTACGAAATGGAGATGGGCACCACCCTACGCTCGGGCAAGAGCACGGGAGACCTTCTTCTTCTTTCAAGATTGCTTAAGGTACTTACGAGATATGCTACTTCTTAAGAATGATTGTTCTTAAGAATCTGCCCACCTTCTTCTGGGTGACTTCCTTGCTCTGCTCGCGGCTCTCGCTGCTTTCGCGGCTCTCCTGGCTGCTGCCGGGCTGGGGAGTTTTCTTCTCGAACACAAACATCAGTTTCCCCTTCTCCTCCGGCTGGAGTGGCTCGGGGATCTTCGGATCTGGGATTGTCGTCTTGGCCTCGATCAGCTCAAGGGTCTGCCTGTGGGAAACGTTCCAATAACGTCTTTGTGAAATAGAGCTCATTCTAAGTCTAAGGACTTCAATTAGGCTTGGCCTCGATCAGCTCCAGAATCTGCCTGTGGGAAAACCATGCAGAGACATCTTTTTGTCAAACTGAGCTACATTCCAACCGTATGCGTGTAAATTACAATAAAAAGTCCTGCCAAACCATCATTTAAAGCCATGTCAAACAGAGATAATTTCTAAGGATCTCAATGATCAAATCTAGAATCTGCTTTCAGGAAATGTTCAAAAAACATCTTTGCCAGGGAAAAGGTGAAGGTCTGGCCATAGCCTCTGGGGGGAGAGATCTTTGTCAAATAGAGCTACAGTACAGTACATCTCGAATAAATTCCATCTACACGCGAGCATATCACAATCAAAAGTCCTGCAAAACTTGACTTCAATCCGTTCCTCTCCCAGGGATTCGAGGCCAGAACCTTCAGATTCAACAGGCATGACAACCTTGCCACCTTTGTGCTACAGTACATGTTACAGAGAAACTGCTGTGCAGTACAGATACAGTCAAGATCAAGGGACTGAAGAATAAGGATGGATTTCTGAAGACGTTACTTACTTGGCGAAGGTGATGACGTCACCTCCCTGCTGGGAGTAAGGCTGGAAGACGTGCTGACCACGTGACTCTGCGCGCTGGATCAGGAACTTGCCACTGCTGCTGCGGTCCGTCACAAGGCGCTGGCGCGTCTCCACGGTGGACTGAAGGTGCTCCTCCTTCTCGGTCTGTGTCAAAAATAAGAAAGAAAACGACTGAAGATGCTGCTACTCCCATGACTAGATAGTTTTGTCGTCTTGAGACAAACAGAGCAAAGCGTAAGTAAGTAAAATGGTGTGCAACTGAAGGAGCAATCTGCTGGTCTGTCTTCAAACTTGAACAAGAAATTGAAGATTTCAGACATCAGGACAGTGTTTAGGGTTTTCAGTCGTCCTACAAATACACCCCCATTTCCTGTGTCTGACCTTTTAACCTGTCATTTCTGCTTGTCAACCTACTCTGTCAAAACATACACACAAACCTACAGCTCAGCCACCCAAAACAATACTTCCAACTGAATGTGGTCTATAACCAAGGGGGATAGAGATTCAGATGTCTGAGATGTCTTAGAACAAACTTAAAACGTTTTCCCGCTCACCTTGCTGACCTTCTTGCCGCTGATGAAGGAGCGCTGCTGCTGAGGTCTCTCCCTGCAGTTCTGGAAGTCCTTGGTCTTGGTGACTACCTGCACGCCCTTCTCCTTCCGGCTGTCCTGGATCAGGTACTGGGTCTCGCACTGGCCGCTCACGTCTTCCTCCATGATGCGGAACAACCTGCAGAAATTCGTAAACAAAATATATGTACTAAATAGATTAACATTTGGTACGTGCACAGAAGGGTTCATCATTCCCTATCATAGCAAGAACCGTGCTTTATTCAGAACCATGCTTGGGCACGATTCCGGATAGTCCGCGCGTATCCTTAACTGTAACAGTGACTGGGGTAAATCTACTTTGAAATTCTTGGATACACAGAGACTATCCAGAACCGTGCCTGATCTTAACCCTAACCCATTCAGGCATATAGAACTACGCACGGTTCTGGATACAATACCCCACAACTCCCCTCTCCATTTTCATTTGGCAGCCTATGAGTCATCGACAATCATTGAAGACCTTTAAGGCGATCGTTAGATACTGAAAAACCCTTAAAATAGAGGTTGTTTGGCTGCAATGGCAAGGTCAACGTCAATATTCAATGTCACGTCTTGTTGCTTAGCTAAGTTTATTACCCTCTCATTTCTTCAGGCGTATTCAAGATACCTGAAAAACAGATCTCAGACCAGTCTTAAATATTCCTAGTAAGTTAGGAATCATTAGATTGAAATTAGAAAAACAAACAAATAAACACACCTCTCGGGAGACTTGTCGAACGCCACGTTAGTCTCCTCGCGCCCGTCCTTGTCCAACATCTCGGAGTTCTTGGGGTTACGGGTGCACTGTGGGAAGGGAAACAACCATGCATTTAGATTGGTCATTGTTTGATGCAACAATTTCTAAAGCCCCTGGTACACATTTAAGGCCTTCTCATGGACCTTCTTTAGACCTTGCTCCCAATCAGTCCTAGCTATGGTCGATTCTGGGCTTTAGCAGTTTGAAAGTGGTATTGTGGTTACTGTTGTTGACTTAGAGTGACCAAGGTTCTTGTTTCGAATCCCTAGCAGATTCCATTGGTGTAATCTTGGGAAAAGCACCATACACCATTTATTCACGCGACTCAGATGAAAACGAGTACCTGGCTTTGGTTAAGGACGTCCTATCGGATGGGCCATGATGGTTTATCAGCTATGCGATGCAAGTTTAGGTTTGTGACCACTCTATCTTGGTTTGGGCGGGCTACCAGGACGCCAAATAACAAAGACACGATGAAAACATGCACTGCCGTAGTTACATGGAACTACTCTCAAAGCAGAGGTTGTGGGGGAATGATCGTTAGCTTTTTATATATGGCCGTTTTTTGTCGCTACCCCTTCCAACCTTGGGTCTCGCATGGACCCTTTCTGGCCAATTGGATACTCTATTTTTGAGACCCTAGGATCTGCTGGGAGATTACCTGGAACAGGTTGATGACGCCGCGCTTGATGTTGACGGACCACTGCGGCTCGTCCTTCTGGCCCCGGATGCTCTCCACGCGGCCCTGCCGGTACACCACCAGCACGGGCTTCTCCAGCTGGCGCCGCAGCTCCGCCAGCTCGTCGGAGGGAACCTCCTCGCTCTCCTCGCGAGAGACGGACTGTGAGCTCCGCTGGCTGCTGGTACGGCCCTGCTGCTCAGAGGACGTCTTCTGTAATAATAGATTGTAGAAAGCTTATTGCAGGTTCTTGTCCGGAGGCTAGTTGCAAGTACATTGTAACATAAAAAGGACGGAGATTCTCAGTCTCAGAGGACTGCCGGCTGTTGGAGCGACCATGCTGCTAAGAGGAGGTCTTTTGTGATAAGTAAGGATAATAGATGTTAGACAGTTTATTGCTGGTCCTTCTGACATTCTGCCTGTCAATCTTCCCTCACCCCCACCCACGTGCTTTCAACCTACCTACGACCGGACTAACATATACCTTAACATGAACTGATAACCTCAAGAATCAGTACCTGTTCCTTGATCCTAATGGCCTCGCGCTGCTTCTGCTGCTGGTGCCTCTCCATAAACAGATACCCACAGCTCAGCCACCCAAACAATACTACCTTAACCAGAAGAAGCGGTACCTGTACCTGTTCCTTGATCCTGATCGCCTCGCGCTGCTTCTGTTGCTGGTGCCTCTCCATGCTGGGCGTCTCCCGGCTCTCCTGGGAGGACGTCTGGATGGACTTGGCGTCCCACTCCTCGGCGGAAGACGTGAACAGATCCTGGCGGAACGCGTCCTGGTGCCACTGCTCCTGGGCCGTCTCCTGGAATGAAGGAAGGAATGAATGAATGAATGAATCGTATTTGTAACCATAACTCTCGCGAGATCACGTTGTAAAGTGATTGGTCATTAATTTTCCTGATGAAGGCGACAGTGGACACCATCTTCACTGTGTTGGTAGAAGTTTATTATGAAACAAGTTTAAACTGTAATTTCCAACCCAAAAAATTGGACTCACCCAAATTTTCGACTGTACAACTCCAGTAAACTATCTTTCAATTATCACTTTAAACTGCTATCGATAACAATATTTAAGTCACAATATTGTCATGTGTTGATGATTTGGTCTCGCCTATGGAATGAGATGTGCAGAAACTGACCTTGGAAGTCTTCTTGACGATCCTGTTGAGCGCCTTCTCCTCGGGAGACTCCAGTTCGCCGCGCAGCGTCTTCAGCTTCACGTTCTCAAGACGCAGCAGGACCTCCTGGGGGTAAGGAAGAAGGGATGAAAGAGTGAGTGAGTGAGTGAGTGAGTGAGTGAGTGAGTGAGTGAGTGAGTGAGTGAGTGAGTGGATGGTTGAGTGCCTGAGTGCGTGCGTGAGTGAGTAGTGAGTGAGTGAAGGCTGAGTGAGTGAGGTGAGTGACTGAGAGGTTGAGTGTAGGATGAGCGAGTGAGTGAAGGATGAGTGAAAGATTGAGTGAAGGATGAGTGGGAGTGAGTGTGAGATGGAATGGATGAATGAATGAATAATTGATGGGTGGATGAATGAATGAATGAATGCATACATGGATGAATGCATGCATAGACTTCCTTGAGATAAGAAATAAGACTGGGTGAATAAGAAAGTGAGTTATAGATTTGGTGGATGGATGGATGCATAGGTGTGTGAATTATTATATGGATAATGAAGTATTAATGACGCAATGAATGTACTATGATCAAGTCGTTGCATTGATGGATGTCCGTTTAGTTCTATGCATGGCGGTACGGAAATGCTTGCGTCATGACGTCATTACGTTACGTCGTGACGTCATGACGTTACCTCGTCCGTCTGGAACTGCAGGCGCGCGTCGCACTCGATCCGCATGCCGGAGAACCTGTCGGAGGTTTTGGGGATGCCGGACATGATCTCTCCCTCGTACCTGTACCCGTAGGCCCGACCCTGACCAAACACTGGAGAAGAAAACAGGTGTAGCTTTAGTGCTAGTGGGGTCGTGTGGCGTAGCGGCAGTGTGGCGTGCTCGACTCGGCACCTAGAGGTCCCGGGTTCGAGCCCTGACATGCCACCGATCTTGTGCCCTTGGGAAAGGCATTTTACACGACTTTCCTCACTTCGCTCAGGTGAAAATGAGTATTGTATTGCCCCCTGTGTTGGTGGCGGCATTAATATAAGTTTAAAAAACTTGAGTGTGTCGTCACCGCGTCTTGTGATTACATGTTGGAAATATGGTATGATTTTGGAAAATACCAAATCACATCCAGTTTCCAAAATCATATCCAGCTGCTTGAGTAACTGCTTTTGGTGCATCGTATTACCTGGGTTATTACCTTCACCGACGATGTACATTTTGTACTTGTACATCAGCGCTTTAGTAATGTAGCAACTAACGTTCCCATTGATGTGGCAATATGTTACATATCCATATCACAATGTTATACATTGTGATATGTAATACCTGTTTTCATATCACAATGTTATACATTGTGATTTGGATACGTACATTCGGACTTCGTACCCGTACATATACCAGTATCGCGACCCTGATCATGAACTTGACTATAGTATCAATGGTCTTGATCTTGATACTGTACTGCGTAACACCCCTCAGTTGGGGTCAAACTCGCAGGGGGGGGGGGAGTGTGCAACGCTCTAAATACTCCTCAAGTGTAGAAGAACAGCTTCCTTAAAGTTGTCGGCCTCTGGTGTTTTTGGTAGGGCCTGCGGAAGCTCGTTCCAGTCTCTTACAGTCCTTGGGAAATACGAGTACCTATAGCAATCCTTATGGAATGCTAGTGTCTTGTAGGAACTCGGGTTTGTGTGCCGCGATTTTGATAAAACAAATGAAGTCAGTAGGAAAGAACAAAAAGTCATTAGAGAACAAAACGAATGCTTACCCTTGTCAGCAAGGTCTTCTGATCTGATGGTCGCCTCTGCGGGAAGAAAAGACGCGTAAACAAGTTTTTCTAAAGCTGAAGACGAAAAAATGTCTTAAGGTTAGCATTTAATGTAAAGGGATGTTTACTTTCTTCACCTATACTTATAGCTGTATGTTTATATATAAGTCAACCTCTAATTTACGCTACTGTTATGCAAGAAAAGGTAGAGCAACCTTCGTACGGTCAACTACAAACTACAAAATAGAAATACAAAGCACAAAATAAGTCGTAAGGTTCTACGTAGCAACGATGAGGGCTACAATCGTGGGGTTGCCGATCGTGGGTTGCAGTATCATCGTAACACGTTACATGCAATTCACATTGTTTATGCTCCAGATCAGATTCTGTTGTTGTTTTCTTGTAGAGTGTCCTTGCGCAATTGCCCGCCGAGGCCATATCCTAGTTTTAGGTACCTTAAAGTTTACATCATTTAATGTCAACATTACTCATAGCGAAAATTTGCTATGTGTCCTTGCCAAGGCCATATCGGAGTTGTAACAAAGGGTGCGTATGTTATTCACCCAGCCGTTTACAATTACATCATTTAAAGTCAACATTATCCCTAGCGGAGTGACATAACAGCATCCGGCGCATTTCTTGGCTTGTTTTCAACTTTATGTAATTCGTGCTTAATATATAACCGCCGTCCTTGGTCTGTTGTTTTCGTGCTGGGCTGCAGATGATGTAACCCGACTATCGTTATATATTAAAAAAAAATGAAAATTTCGATTCGCATTTATAAGACATGGATGATCTTTGGTGCCAGTGATTAATGATCTTGAAAGTTGTATACAGTTTAACTTCACTGGTTGATTGGGGCCCTAGATTGGAAACCAATTCGCGATTGCATAAACTGAAAAGAAGTCGCCGTCAGAATTTAGAAAAGCCCCCGTAAGCATCCAAAATATTCCAAAAATATATGGGAATATAATAAACAAATCAGTGGAAGCAACTTAGCTGAGAAAAAACGAAGAGCTAAATCAATTATAAAGTATGACGATGGCTGAAAAGGAGTTATCGGAAAAAACTTTTTGGGAAGCAAAATCCGAGTATGGCGACAGTATAGGACTACTTGGATGTGGATGATATCCGCTAAAAGCTACTTTTTTCTGCCAAAAAAAACAAGACAAGTAACGATGGCAAGATTCATTCGTCTCCGGAAAGTCTAGAACACACTTCAAAACCAGCCATGGCTTACTAGGGATAACGCACTATCATAAAAAAGTAATAAAAAAAAACTCCATTGATTTTCCACAATTAATAGTTGGCTGGCACACAAGACTTTTAAAGACGACTTTTACAGACAACCTCGCCGACTAACTCCCAACTACAAATGATCTCAATCACGACCACCTCCCGACCATAGTCTGGTAGCTCATGATTGGTTGTAGGGACTTCAGGCAAGTTCATTCCCAAGAGATGAAAGTTGTACTCACGCGTCAGGCAGGCCCCCAGAAGGAGGAGAAGTAACTTGTTCATGGTGTCTCAGTATCAGCCGAACCGTCTGTGTGAGTATTCGGGCTGGAATGAGAACTCGCTGTGATTGCGGACGGGTTTTTATACCCTCTGATTTACGCTATGTTGGTTTTTCTGGACGCTCCACGGACTTTGCTCGTGGGTTTGTTGATTTTGGACGGAGTGTGCAGTTTTGTGCTTACTTGATACTGCGCACTAGGACATTCCGTCCCACGTTCGGTTGAAAAATACTGCATAGTCGAGGACTTCGTATGCTGTTGTTGTGTCGAGTCTTGCATTTTGACCAGCTGATCTCAGCTTTATTGTAACTTGAGATCTCATAGTTCACGCAAACACGTCACTCAACTGTGGCGAAAAGTCAGGGCACGGCCAAGTTCGAGCAAGTACAGCTCCAAGCAGATGTTGGGTGGGGGATTGTGACGCTTTCTGGTAAAGAGTAGTAAGCAACTTTGCCGACCAACCGCCAACCACAGATGACCTTGCTCACGACTTACTCCCAACCCATTGTTTGGAGAAGGTCGGGAGGCCATGGTTGGCTATTTGTGAAAGGGAGTTGAGTAAAGTTTTGTGGTCAGAAAACTTTGCAAACGTAACTCCTTACAACTGCTTGGAGACACGGGAACAGACAGATAATATGGCAATATCAGCCGTTCGAATTCATTATTCCCATTCATGGAAGAATTCTGTCTTAATTGTACTTTGTATCTATACCTTGTCTATCGTGTGTTGGGATATTTTAGAGTCATTGTGTTAATATGCAGGCCTGAGATTGGTGGATGTCAATTATTGGTCTGAATTTTGTTTTGCCATTCTGCATGGGTTACTGGTAAAACAGTGCGGATTTGCAATCGGCAGCTCTTTGGCCGGCTAACTCCTCTTGCAAACCAGTGCGTCTGTGGAGAATCTGGTGGATGCATGTCATTTTTGGAGGTGGTTCAAGCCCAGTCGTGCCTCGCTGTAAACAACTCCCCTCCTCTTGTAAACACATCTTTGCCCTACTTTTTATCAATTCTTGTCCTAAGCTTAGCAGCTGGGCTGTATAGGCGTAAAACTGGCATTGTGCGTAACACTCCAGCTTCAGAGATGCATGTATCCAGAACCATGCCTCACACACATATGCTCACACCCACTCACACACCCACAGACCCCCGCCACACACACAGTGAAGTAACACACTTCTTATTCAAATGTTCTTGGAGGCGTCATCGTCATCTTCTGCAATGTCTCTAGACTATAGTATCCAGTACGATACCTAGTTCTGTGCTTCAATAGGTAAGACTAAGATCAGGCACGGTTCTGGATAGTCTCCGAGTATCCAATAACTCAGATTTGCCCCAGGTACGGTTCTGGATACGCTTAACTATCCAGAAAAGTCCTTTATCCAGAACCGTTCTTAGTTAACAGTCTCCTGCAGTAGCAAATTAGGTAGCCCGTTATCTAACTTTTCCTTTGTTGAGTCCGCACCTACCCACAGACCACATATCATCCTTACAACCTCAAAACCACGGACAGCTTCTTCAGTTATGCTGACACAGACCACAAAACCCACAGACGCCGCCGAAAACATGTACCAAAGCTTGAAACAGTACGCGTTGTTTCCTACAGTAACCTTAGTGAGTAAACAAGCCACCAGGTGCCACCCACGAGTCTGTATATTATCACTCTATTTTGAGGTATTCTGGATGACTTCCAAGTGTGCGCAAGTGTGACCCTAGCCTTGGTTGTTGTTCTTCGTCTGAGCCGAGATCAAGTCATGATTTACAAGTAATACACAACCAATAGGAGTCAATGTACAATCAGATAAAACAATCTGTCTATAGCGACCATAGAACGGACATCAAAAACAGTCACATTTTTGGTGCGGTAACTTTCGTAGAAGGTCGTCGAACGATTTTGATGCCTTGGAATTTTCAGACAGGATGTGACAGAATCGAACAAACCGCAGACAAGTTCGCGATCGTACCGCGATAGGGCGACGCTCTTTGACAGGCGGCAACTACTACATGTAGTACGGATGTCATATCCGCTGTCGTATGCAGGATGTGGCAGAGGTTTTACTCAATGATACAGCAAAGCCCCATGTCCAGTTCAGCTGACCTATGTCCTGCAAGACTGATGTTTAATGCGCAATGCACAGGCATAGTTCTCATTAAGTTCAAGAACCGTGTCTGGGGCAAATCTATAGTCTTGGATACACGGAGACTATCCAGACCCGATCCTAACCCTAACCCTAACCCATTCAGGCATAGAACTTAAATAGGCACGGTCCGGAATACAATAACTGACCAGAATACCGATCCTGGCTATCTATCAAATCAGATTCCAGTGTCTGCACGCCTACCAATTGTTTCCACTTCTGTGATTTTCAAACAGGCTCATTTCGAACATCTATGTATAGATGAAGGGCGGGGCCATGTCTATGGGGTTGGTTTCTCACACTTAATCTGGCAATTTTTTTTATTATTTCTTGTGACCTTCTGCCCGTAAAGGAGGGCTCCGTGGTTCATGTCTTTTCACGCATTCCTCATCAAGCTATAGTCATGTTTATGTATCTTACACTTTGATGAACTTCTATCTTTTCTCAACTAGGAACCTGTTTGCAAACACACCTGACCTCGTCTACGTCTTATTACCGTTTTTAGCTTAAATATTTGGAACTGGAAGACCATTCCTTCTCTCTATATGTATGTCTCTATCTTTCTCTGTGTCATTATTCTTTTCTAGCTTTGTAATAACCTCACTTTCACACACACACACACACACACACACACACTTTATCTCGCACTCGTTCTTTCCCTCTTTCTCTCTCTCTCTCACTCTTTCTCTCACTGCGTGTGTGGGGTAGGGGGAGTATATCTATCTCTCTATAACTTTACAACAACGTTGTCTGAAGCGGACAACAGACAGAAGACCAGAGGCCACCATGGTTTCCGTCATAACTTGATCTTTAATGTGCTTCAAAATGTATGTAACAAAAGACAAAACCCTGAAAAAACAGACAACTGGAAGGTGAGCACCATTCATGATATAACAACAGTCCGTGTACAATATGTCATCATTTCCCGATGATGAAAAAAAACCCTGGTCGTTATCAAAACGTGTTCTTCACATACTGTGTAAAAATTATCAGCGTTTATTTATTTGCATAGAATTCTCCTAAATATACAGTCGAAAGTCCTAACAATTTTACACTAAGAGAGAGCGATCATGTCTAGGAAGAAGTGGATAAGCTGTTGGACGGGTCAGTAAGTGTTTACTGCTCGCGGCACTCCAGCTCGGCCTCGATCTCCTGGACACGGTCGGTCTTCTTGGACATCATCTTCTCCAGGGGCTTCGTCTGGTGAAGCTGCGGGGAGACAGAGAGTGTGAAGAAAGGATTAGCGGGCTCTGCTATGAATTGTAACTTGTAATAATAGATGTAAAAGGTGAATGCAGAATGGCACTATGTTAGACATGGCCATTTCTGTTTTCGTGTCTTTACTGTGGTTATGTATATGGTCTTGTATATGGACCTACATGTATGGTCTTGTACATGTATGGTCTTGTATTTGGACCTATGGTCTTGTATATGGACCTATGGTCTTGTATATGGACCTATGGTCTTGCATATAGACCTATGATCTTGTATGTAGACCCATGAAACATACAACGCAACAGAAGTCAGTGCTTACCTTCATCATCTTCTTCGTGCTCTCCAGGTTGGTGTAGAGGCAGTGGAACTCCATCTGGCTCTTCTCGGTCTTGGTCTTCCTGGAGCCCTCTGGGCACTGTGGGACGGGGGTCTTGGAGAAGCAGGTCTCCTCCTTGCCGTTCTCGTTGGTGCGGGAGATCATCACGTTACGCATCTTGGGCAGCTTCTTGCCTGATGGGAGAAGGAGGCAGACGGTTAGGATCGAGAACGTGTGCTTATGTGAGTTGGCCATTGTATTGTACTTGTTGGAATAGGTCGGTCAAAGACTTGAATGTTTGATGTCAAACTGTACCCAGTTTAGATTTCTCGGTAGCTCTATATTTTCAATCTTTGACCTATTCCAACAGCTTCTTGCCTGAGGGAAGACGACAGACGGTTAGGAGCAAGAAAGAGACCATGGGGTTAGGCCATTAATTAGATCTAAGGCCTCTTGCCTAAGGAGAGACGGACGGTTGCCTAAGGTGTGACGACGGCAAATGTTTGGTATCACGAAAGTGTTCTTAAAAATAAACTATGATGTGGATAGGAGAGCTTTCCGGAAAGCTAAAACAGGTACGGTTTTACTTCTTATAGCATAGCATCTTGTCTAAGGCGAAACGGAGTCAAACATTAATTCGAGATTTAAAAATTGCTCTTTAGAGAAAGTTGTGCCCTGATATGGTACCGTACTTTTTAGCATAGGAGGGTACAGAATTTGCTGTCGTGGTAGTTTCGAGCAGGCTCTGATAGAACCAACATGGATATAAGACAAACTTTTCATGATTATCAGAAGACGTGTCATACATTAGTTCTTAAGATACTACATATGCGTGAGTCAAGAAAACTTATACTGGCTTACCCTCGACCTCGCACTGCTTGCTGGGGACCTGGTAGGACAGGGCGAACATCTTGTGAGACCTGTAGATCTCCTCGCTGGGGCCGGAGTACTCGTTGGTCTGCTCGCCGTCGAAGTTGCCGCACAGACCGGCCATCTTGCTGCGGAAGTTGTTGGAGGCCTGAAACACGCAACGGTGCACGTGAGGATCACGCACTGTGCACGCTTGGATCACGCATTGTGCATGCTTTTATCACGCATATTGAACACGTCGGTTTTGAGGTTTGAGAACTAGATGGACAATTTTCAGTAATTTTCAGCTGCGGAAGTTGTTGGAGGCCTGAAACACGCAACGGTGCACGTGAGAATCACGCATTGTGCACGCTTTTATCACGCATTGTGCACGCTTAGATCACGCATTGTACACGTTGGTTTGGAGGCTTGAGAACAAGATGTAGAAGTTTCAGTAATTAATGAAAACAACTTTCCTGTAAACTACAACATGACCTTATAAGGTCTGAAAAAAAGGAAAACGGAATTCTATTCCAAGAAATCTGAGCAGATGCAGGTTGTTTGT